GTTTCATTTAAAAGAGTCGATCATCAGATATTGTCCAAGATTAACCTTCAGGGTGGATATAGCTCGCTAGCAGCCTGATGCCGATGACCTAGTTGATGTCATCAATTACCCAGAATGCTTTGCGTGTAAATAAAATGGCCCCGTCCGTGTAATGTATTGTTAAACTTTTAGTTTAAAAATGATAAAAACTGAACATCCTACAGTATTTTTAGTCTTTATTTTACAGTTAAAGTATATGTTTATCATATAAAGTCTAATGTTACAACTAGTCAGGGATCCCTTTAAGTTGCCAGTCAGTTTGATTGGTGAAGAGGAGTCAAAACAAGCATCTTAGCTTCTCATTTTGCCCCTCAGTTTGTCTGAAAGGCACCAAGATCCAGGGCAAGTGTCTCCTGTCYGACCCGGTGAAGAAGACCTTCCACGTAGCCAGCGACGACTGCATCGCCAAAGGAGGCAGCCTGAGCACCCCTCTGACAGCAGACGAGAACGACCGGCTCTACAGCTACGTGCGCCAGAGTCTCGGCCCGGAGGAGCACATCTGGCTGGGCATCAACGACATGGTGACGGACGGCCAGTGGCTGGACCARTCCGGCTCCAGTGTGCGCTTCAAGAACTGGGAGACGGAGATCACCCGGCAGCCCGATGGGGGCCACAGCCAGAACTGCGCCGTCCTCTCCACCACGGCCAGCGGGAAGTGGTTTGATGAGAGCTGCCGAGCCGAGAAGGCCTCGGTGTGCGAGTTCAACATCGTCTGAGAGCTCTGACGTCGCTCGGTGCAGTCGGTGGCCGTGCTGCACTTCATCTCCTGCACGTGTCGGAGGAAAGCAGCAAAAACGTTGAAAATATAAGCTACCCCCTGGAACATTCAAATAAATTCACCAGACCCATTACATGTACATCTTACAGCATTTTAAATGGCTTACATTTAGCTTAATCACTGGATGGCTTCTCTGTGTGCTTAACCAAAATAATAGTATTTTAAAAAACCTTGAAACATAAATAAAAACAGAATATGGTGATATGTAAATCCTTTGGACACCACGTCCATGATTTCCAAAAACAAGTCGAAATATGGACTTGTCAGGCCACAGGACACTTTTCCACTTTGTGTCATTCCATCTCAGATGAGCTCGAGTCCAGAGAAGTTGGCATTGTTTCTGGGTGTTGATATATGGCTTTGCATGGTCGAGTTTTAACTTGCACCTGTAAATGTAGTGATGAACTGTTTTCACTGACAATGGTTTTCTGAAGTGTTCCTAAGCCCATGTGGTAACGATGATGTCAGTGTTTAATGCAGTGCCGCCTGAGAGATCAAAGGTTACGAGCATTTAATGTTGGTTTTCAGTCTTGCTGCTTGTTTGCAGAGATTTGTCAAGGTTCTCTGAATCTTCTGATGATTTCATGGACCGTTGATGAAATCCCTAAATTCCTTGACAATGTATATTGAGAAGCATTGGGCCTCATGCAAGAACATGTTCATATTCTTATCCTACATTTCTCTTACTTTTGTTCGTACGAAGGGTTCGTAC